CTTCCTGTCACCCCGGACCCCACAGTGAGTTCCTTAATGTTCCTTACGACTTCGTGTGCTCCGTAGCTCCGTTGGTCCTTTCAGCGTAGCGTCTCGCGCGTCTATCGCCGTTGAGGCCCGCGCCTCCAGCACCACCCAGAATCTCGGCCACAAGACCGTCGACGTTGCTGGTCAATGCTCCCTGAACGTTCGACCGTCGGTGCGACGAGGTGGATTTCATCCCACACGGTGCGACTCGTTGGACACCAGGTCCGGGGACGACATAACAACCATTGTGATGCTCGTCTGATGTATGAAACAGGATAGAGCACTGCTGAAGACTGCCAAGCGTGGTCATGAAGAACCCACAGTCTTTCTTTTTCACTTCGTACACGAGTCGGACACATGAGTGAGTTGTTGAGGGGGGCGGGCAGTGTTAGGATGTGTTAGGGGCATCAAATTATCATTGGGAGACCATGGGAGACCGCAGAATTTGGCTTGTGGCGAAAATGGATAATATAGACCGTGTAGCCCTTTCGACCCGAAATTGACGACCCTCTTCGGCCTGGCTCGTTTTCAGCGAGGCACGTTCACTACGCTTCTTCCGCAGCTCTTCGACCTCAACAGAAGCCACGTGTTCACGGCCACAAGGCTCAACAGAAGCATTCTTTGTATCTCTTTGTAAGTTGTGGATGTTCAGGGGTTCCACATGGTTCAACTTCTCCTCCTGACACCACCCAAACTCTATTCATCCTCTTCTGGAAAGAAGGAGGGGTCTCCACTCTTGAGCTGATCCGTTGGAATGCCTGTGCAAAAAAAAAAGGATGTCATGTCAATGATCTTTGACTGTATCTGAGCACCTGATCTCTTCCAATGTTCTGGATATTGGGTGCTGCAAGAGGAGACAAGCCCCGCTCTTAGTGTGTCTAGAGCTTGAAAATCTTGTCTGCCAGCCCCACCTGCTTGCGCTTCTCCGCGATTTGTCGAATCTGGACATTGGCTAAAACAAGAAAAGCTTTCACGCACTCATGTTATGCCATTGATTTTTGCACTCACGATGTATTTATGTCCTGAAGTGGGCGCTTCAAGTTCAACTTGTCAATCCTTGTACGCCTCTGCAGCCTTTTGCCTCTCCTTCACCCATTGCTTTCAAAACATGAATAATAAAAAAAAGTGTTGACGTGGCGGCCACGTCAAAGAGGTTTGGGCTTTTGATGGGTTTTGAACTCCAAACCGCACACGACAGCACGGAGGAGGTGTCAAACTGTTTGGAGACGGAGCCCACGGAGCCCGCCCGCCTTGTCCTCTCTTTCCCGTCTGAGAGCTTCAATCTCGGCCTTCGAAATGGGTGCCATTTGGAAGCTCTTAGAGCTCACAGAAGGACACTAGCAGGAAGAACCTGTCCCTTGGCAGTTTGGCTCACCCTTTCCTAGTCTTCGCTGTTAAAAGGATTTACCACCTGATAGCCTAAGAAACTCTACTGTAATTCAAGCAATACCGGCTGCGTAACAGCTCTCTGCAATAATAAGTTCACAAAACAAATACTCAACGGCCAGCAAGCCTCCATGGCCGAATTGGCACGCCAAAGTGCGGCTGGCGGCTCTAATTCAGATGCATCCAGAATGTTTGCAGGCTCTCAGGAACCCTCGATACCACATTGACATAACAAAAATTACACAACAGTTGCAAAACACCCTGGTCAGTGGCCATCTAAGCATGCACTGCATGGAACATGCTACTAAGCAAGTAGATGTTGGTCTTCGCGCACCAAATGAATGTTGCCATGCATGTGTAATAAGTTGCATCCCAGTATCGGTCAATGACCGTGCATTGGGCTGATTGAGGATGGACATAGGTATCTCACCAAATCTTCCTATGTATATAGCTCAATGTTACTCACCTAAATTTGGTGACCTTTTTCTGCAGTATATATTTTTGTCAATCCTCATGTCGCGTGATTGTTTCACAATGGTCCGGTGGTTGGTTGTATCAATTGAAGTGCTGTTTACAGAGGCAAACAGCTGCAAAGAAGCATTACCTGACCAGGCAAAATGCGGCACAACCAAAACTGGCTATTCGCCCCGGTCCACATTCCAAGATGTTGTTTCTTCTCCATTCACTAAGCCTCTTTTTGCATGTATATCAGCATGTCAATGCATGTCACATGTCAACATCTCACCAAGACTCTTTTTATAGACTCTTCGATTGCCATGCCCTGTACAGGGTTGGAAATGGCAAATCGATACACTGTTGATCGATGTATACACAAAGCGATCAGGCTGATTCAATCAGGACCAATTGAACCAAGCCATGATGTGTAAAATATGGAATAATCCCTGCCCTGGTATCAATATGGAAGAAGAAATACAAGGCTTTGCATCATAGATGTCATTCTCTTTCAGCAACCACATCGGTTCTGAATCTGCATGATCACAAAAGCCCAGCTGCGGCACTTACAACCCCAGAATGGACTTGTTGACCTAAGTTGGTCATTGGTCCTCACTGCTCCATCTGGGTAGCATCGGTAGGACAAGAGTGATTATGTCATCAGCTGCATAGGCAACTCAAGATCATCCGAGTCGGAGCGAAAGGACATGCAGCTATCAAACTATCATCAGCTATCTACAGTATCTATAGCCTATAGCCTATGTCAGCTGCGCATCTAGTCCCATGATAAGAATCAATGACCACACCTGAACCCAACTAACTAGTAGACATGCAACGACTGGACTCTGTCCCACTGGCTGGCACCACTGGCTGACCAGTTCTCAAGATGACTGGCGTAGGCATTGTTTTGAGATGTTTTGAGGCAACACTTTCTAGTAGCGTCCTTGTTACTACTAGTAAGGCACTTGTTACTAGAAGCGATGCCAGGAGGGGCAAGGGATCAAAAAAATAAAAATGCATCAAAAAACAAATATAATTCAGGGTATCAAGAAAAAAACAAAAATGAATCAATAAAAAAATAAACGGACCCAAACGAGTGGAGGGAAGCGCAATAGTCCAACTCGAAGCAGTGATCAAAAGAAAAACAAAAACGCATCAAAAAAAAACAAAAACTAAATCAACCTACACGGATACCTTGGATTGTCCTGTAGGGCCCTTGGGTCGAGACCAACCTATCCACTACAACGGTCGGCCTCTGCCCTCTGTGTTCGGTTCGAAATTGCCAAGAATTCAAGAGATAAGGTGTTTCAGGTTTTGGAGATTCAAGAGGTCACGGTTGAGAACAGGACGCCTACATCTACAAAGATCCAAAGGCCTCGACATCCAGACAGATCTAGTGTAAAGGTGTAGAGTCTAGAGACCCACAAAATCTTGCAGAGGTTCAGATCCAGCTCTTCCAAAATTTTACTGGCGTGCTAGAATGGAATGGCTTTCTGCCCTCTAACCTTTACTACTGTACATTCGGGTGGCTTACAGAAGGGCGGCGCCGCAGCCGCGCACACGGATTCAACTCAACTGCGCACACACATTTATCGGCGCTTGTGCCTCATCTGCGCACACACTTGTTAACTCAGCGTGCGCACACCCCACCATGGGGAGTCAAGTGCGCACACAGGCCCTTTCCCGAATGTTGCTGCGTATTCCAAATTTCACCCTGCGTTGCTCACTTAAAAGGGTAGTCAACTTGGAATAGCCACTTCCTTGTCTATTTTTGTTACTCTCCAGTGGCTCACCAAGGGGTGAGTCAACTTGGAATGAGCACTTCCTTCTCTAAATTTTGCCCCTGCATTGCCCACAAAGGGTGAGTCAAGTTGAAATGGCAACATCCTTCTCTAAATTTTACCCTCGGGCGGCTCACCAAAGGGTGAGTCAACTTGGAAGGGCAACATTCTTCTCTAAATTGATCCCCCTGCATGGCCCACAAAAGGGTGAGTCAAGTTGAAGTGGCAACATCTTTCTCTAAATTTTGCCCCTGCATGGCCCACAAAAGGGTGAGTCAACTTGGCATGGCCACTTCCCTCTCTAAATTTTACCCTCCAGTGGCTCACCAAAGGGTGAGTCAACTTGGAATGACCACTTCCTTTTCTAAACTTTACCCTGCCCACAAAAGGGTGAGTCAAGTTGAAAGTTGAAATGGCAACTTCTTTTCACAATTTTACCCTCGGGTGGCTCACCAAAGGGTGAGTCAACTTGGAAGGGCAACATCCCTCTCTAAATTTTACCCCCGCATGGCCCACAAAAGGGTGAGTCAAGTTGAAATGGCAACATCCTTCTCTCAATTTTACCCCTGCGTGGCCCACAAAAGGGTGGGTCAACTCGGCATGGCCGCTTCCCTCTCTAAATTTTACCCCGCATTGGCCACAAAAGGATGAGTCAAGTTGGAGTGACCACTTCCTTCTCATAATTTTACCCTGTGCGCAAAAGGGTGAGTCAAGTTGAAATGGCAACATTCTTCTCCAAATTTTACCCTCGGGTGGCGCAACAAAGGGTGAGTCAACTTGCAGCTTTCCTGGCCACTGCAGGCAGCACAGGTCCGTAAGCTGGCTCGCTGAGTAGCTGGCCAAATGGGGGATAGAACAGGAGTTCAAAAGTGGTCCTTGTTGTTGTGTGTGTTTTTTGGGAGATGCATCAAAAAATGCATTAACATAGAATACATAGATGCATCAAACAATGCATTAACATAGAATACATGACAACACTTGCCATTGCAGGCAGCACAGCTCCGCAAGCGGGCCACCTACAAAAGCCATCGAAAACCAAAGGCAAAAGCCACCAAAACCCAAGAGCCACCGAAAGCGAACCTTCCTTCCTGCCTTGCTGCCTTTCTTCCTTCCATCCATCCTTCCTTGCTTCCTTCCTTCCTTCCTTCCTTCCGTCCTGGCTTCGTACCTTCCTTCCTTCCTTCCTTCCGTCCTTCCTTCCTTCCTTCCTTCCTTCCTTCCTTCCTTCCTTGCCTTCTTGCCTTTCTTTGTTTCTTTTCTTTATTTTTTTATTGATGCATTTTTATTTTTTCTTGATGCATTTATATTTTTTTATTGATGCATTTATATTTCTTTTTTGATGCGTCTCCCGGACAGGAGCCCCTAGTAGCGTCCTTGCTCCTAGTAGCTTCTTGTTTGCAGTTGTCTCCGAAGCAAAAAATGGGACAAGCGCACTCTATTGAACGATGTCGCACAATAACCTATCGCTTCTAACCTTTGGCGGATACTTCTCCTGCACAGCATTGGACATGCGTTTCGATGTCGAGGAGCATCCATTGTCATTGGCATGTTGATGCATTGTGACTGTTTGGCATGTCAGTGGCTAGTGGAATCAATTTGGTCTGTACACCTGTCGTTCAGCTGAGTACAAATTGGTGCACCCCTAGACAATAGTAATAATTAGAAGGTCATTGAGTCGACTGAGTACCTGTCTTCTTGTCTCGAGTGGCTTATATCTCAAGTCTTGTGACACATCAGGGCGGCGCGGGGAGTAGCCTCGCTGAGGTGCGTTTTCTGAATCCAAAAAAGGTTTTCACATTGGTTTCACCGTCCATGATACCAGGAATGTCAGGACCGCCAGGACATTTGCCCGACATTTAGAAAAATCAGGACTGGATATATTGGAAAAATATGGAAACATCATCAGGACTGGATCACTGGATCACCTCTAACTGCACGTTTTGTCCCGTGCGCCTGCCAGCTCAAGATCTGGGCCTCAGCTTCACGCCTTCTTCGACGAAACATCGCGACTGGAGTCCTTCATGTCGTGCATAAGGAATGGAGTCCTTTAAGTCGTGGTTCGAACAACACGACTTGCTATGTTGATCCTTGTTGCTCATATATGCTCGATAATGATATTCTATTCTTGTTCTCCATTGCTTCAAGTGTGATTGCATTCCTGTTTTCCTCACTCTGTTCAGTGGTCCATGTGTGTCCATGTTCTCATTTGTCTAAACAGAATGCAGTTTGAATGTCAAACGAGACCTCCCGCAAAAGGGTGGGTCTACCAAACGCTAGCGTGAAATCCAGCGCATTCCAAGCCACAGCCAAGGATTTCATGTTGCCCTGATGCCTGAGTGCAAGTGCAATGACGGTATTATCAAAGGGCCTCTGGAAGCTTCGAGAACCCTTACAATGTGGAACTGCAAGCCGGAGGTCTGAAGTGGATGCAAAACACATCGAGGTCCCTCCACTTCCTTCAATCTTGTACTGCAAATGCACCACCCTCTCTGGCATCTGCGAACATGGGGCTACAGCTGTCTGTGGGTTTATCCTCTGTCCTGTGTCAAACGCTTATGGCTTTCGTAAATCACTGAAGTCGGAGAATTCAAGCGCAACTGGCTGATGCGATTCCAAGGGGGCCAACCTCAATCACCATCATCCCGTATGCACCCATCACTCTGCATGCGAGAGACATACAACTGTGTTGGTCGCCTCAGACTTGCAATGTTGGAGCGAGCTGAAAAAGCTCCTAGTAGCGTCCTTGCTCCTAGTAGTAAGGCCAGGAGCCCCTAGTAGCGTCCTTGCGCCTAGTAGCGATGCCCTTTGCTCCTAGTAGCATCCTCTAGGCCGACAGTACAAACAATGCCTTGTTATTTTTGCAAGAACAAATCACGTGGCAACACCGGTGGCACACTTAGCCGAGGCTTCCTACTGAAGGACGCATGTCACCATGTAGTGTTCCGGCCACGACTAAGGTGCTCGCCGTTCGTTTCAGCGACTTCCAGTTGAGTGCAATACCTCAGATATGCTGGGCTGATAGGGGGCAATAATTCAAGAAAAACGCTTAGATAGTCAATGGGCTTGGGCGGATTTCCGAGGTCTTCGCAGCAACAACTATCAGTTGCAATCTGTCAAGGATGGGCTGGCGACAAATCATGAAACATCACGTTTTCCTGTATATAATGGACTTGAATAATCGATTGTCCCCAGCTTGTAGACTCTAGATTCCAAATAGGAGCAGACTCGGTCCTGCCGCGTCATGCCAGGCTGCAGAGCGTTGCTCTCGATGATCGACTCTGCTTCTGCGCAGTCTTGGACCAAGATCAAAAGCGCCGGACCCTCAAATGCATCTTGATGTTCCAGGCTGTCCAAACTCATATACCAATCCTCACAAACTCATTTGCAGCGAGCGAGCGAGCAATTGGCCAGGTAGAATTCAGACTAAGACTAAATGACTACCGTGTCCTACAGTTCTCGAGAGGTGGTTCATTTCAGGGTCTTTGAAAGGGTTCTCAAAAAGCAATTCTTTCCTTGGGGATGCCCTGTGTAGCGCTCAAATCGATGTTGTCAACATCAACGGCTTTACCACATAACTAATTTGCCAAGCGGCAATGCGTGAAGCCTCAGCGCGGTTTACAAATGACGCTACAAGTAGTAAGGAATCCGTTTGCAAGACCTCTGGCTTGGATTTCCTGTAGATGTAGCTCTGGTTGGAAAAACAAAGGGATCCTCTGCAAAGAAAAACTTCAATCCTCAACGGGTTCGTCTCCCAAAGTCAGCAACTATCTGCAGTTCTGCAACAAGATCTGCTACAAGCTCCTTGAAGGCATCTACGGACATGCCATTGAGCTGATCAGACAGTTTCCAGAATGCCCGCATCAAGAGTTTCGACTCCTCAACGCCGCCGTTGTTTGAATGTCCTTGGCTGTGGGCTTTGAGCTCAAGGAACGGGAACCAATTTGGCATGTCCCTGTGCTGTTGGGTCAAAAAGCGGGCATTCCCACACTGTGCTTGTCAACAGCATTGCCGTGAACCTCATTGGTCACTCACACTGTCCATCCCGTCGAAACATGAGTATTTCATAGTATTTCCAATCACCTCCTGAGTGAAGGAATATGTCTGTGCCTCACAACAATGTGGCGGACTTGGCCGTTGCCTGAACGGCCTGGAATCGAGAGCTTGGTCCTGGGACACAGAACCACCTTGTCTAGCAAAGACCCAGGCCCGAAAAAATAAAAGAACGCCTCCGCACCGCTGGCTGTGTTTGGGGGACTCCCCAAAAAGGAGGCTGAAGGTGGCACAAAAAACGAGGGCACCACGGTCTGCCAAATACCAACAGAAACACGCGATCCGCTGCTGAACATCGAAGATGGGCAGCTGGGTCTTCGGTTGATCACAAAAATCTGAGCCCTAGCTCAACAAGCCATTCGAGGACCGAATACTCACATGTCATTATATAGTTGCACAGGAGAAGTGCCTAAAGTCGCAGTTCGACCATCTTCTTCGACTCACAAGTCTGACTCAGCGAAACTCAGAGCAAGGCTCCATTCATGTAGCCTCCTGAGATACCGTCAAAAGCTAGACCACAAGTATCCGGAAGCCGTCCTGGACGCCACGTCCGTATCGGAGTGATATGCTGAAAAAGGACCGATGGCAAGGTGGGCAGCCTGTCTTCGTGATGTTTCGGTCTTTCGGCGGCCAACCTTCGGGAAGAGCCGGTCCTTCTCAGATGCAAATGCAAAACAGAATTATATCCTTTGTATATACCTGAGAAGGGAGGGGACGAAAGCCAGCCTCTGGCTTAGGGGGTGCTCTCAGAGTCTCGGGGTAGGCCAGGGCAAAGACTTGGCGTGCAAGAGGAAGTGATAGGGTAACATCGGGCAAAGAGTAATGTTATGGGGCGAAGTTGACATCGCAGCCACACCGATAAGGGGTAGAAATGGAAAGTAGAAGACATAGGGTCTGGGGGGGGTGCCCTTTTTCGCTCTGGTCCCTACCCTACCCATTGCCAGCGGCATGTTGCGAATCAGTGAGCAGAGACGGCGGTGGGGGTTCGCGAGGCAATGGGTAGGGTAGGTGATATATATATATATATATATATCTGTGTAGAAACACTTGCTGGACTGAAAAGGGCACCCCACAGGTCCATGATGCCATAGAGGTATGTCATAAAGCTGGGGGTAGGAGAGAGAAGCGATTGCAGCGGGCAAGCGTTGGAGACAGAAGGTGCTGAATAGCGTAGGGGTGCCCTTTTTTGTCCGTAGCAAGGTCTAGTTGCTGCACTGAAAAGGGCACCCCACATGGGGCGCATGATGCCATTTTTCACGGCCTGCGAGAGCACCGAACTGAAGAGGGCACTCCCCATGTGGTGGGAGTTCACGTGGAATGGGGGGCTGTTATGGTTGTTGAAGGCAGGAGAGAGAAGAGATGGCAGCGAGCAAGCATTGGAGGCGGAGCCCCATTTCACCTGCGGCTCCAACGGTTGCTCGGTGCCATCTCTTCTCTCTCCTGCCTTCAACAACCATAACAGCCCCCATTCCACGTGAACTCCCACCACATAGGGAGGGCCCGCATCAGTCCGACAGCAACGCTAAGCCTAGCCGCAACACTACAATCTGTGCTCTTTCAATGGCCTCCTGAGCCCCTCGTGATGCTGATGATGCGCCGTCAATTACATCACCGGCATCACAACACCCCTCAAACCACTCATTTTTCACTACCAAGTGGCCCGCCTCTTTTTGTCGCTCTCCCCCACCAGGCTCTGGGTTCACCTCTCCGAAAAGTAGCCACCACGCAACCACCCCCCCACACCCCCTTCACTCACTTCGTTCGCTCCAACAACCTCAAGCCCAGCCTACCAGCTGGCTTTCGTGATATATATATATATATGTCAGCGCCTGCCTCACACCTTTTCGCAGCAAATCTCTACATTAA